AAAAGCAGCCCTATGAGATGGGGTTACAGCTGGGCAAACAGACAGATGAGCTCCCTGTGCCTGAGTAAAATGGATGCTGATTACTTACTATTCTATAGGGAATAGACATTTTTTGCTATTTTAAATATTCACTCACACAGTTCAAATTAAACTAAACGAGGGCTACAGCACAGCATTTTCAAGTTTTTCAGCCTCTCGGTGCTGAAAGCTCTTAAGCTTGATAAATTCTTGTCACCCCTCTTGATCCTTTCTGTAAAATGAGAAAAATTATAGTCGCACCTCAAGGCAGACACTGCTACACGTAGAATTTTTGCATGTTTTGGTTCACATAATACTATGCAATGCTCTGACACCTTTCAGCAATGCAAATGCATGTCCAGCCAGTTGTAGTTGTAATCAGAAAATTGCTTGTTCTGCAGAAACAGAAAAACGATTTGAGGGCAACTCTTTTCAAAGATAGGAGTTTCTCAATAATCTGCAATTCCACAGCAATTTACTAAAAATGTCAGGATGTATCCGAGTACAAACACTAAATGCAAACTGCTATCATTACTATCTAATCTAGCAAGATATTGGTCACGTCTGAGAGGGTGCTCTCAGTGGTCCCAGATCTCCCTTGAATTCAGCAGATGGCAATGACACTCAGGACCTTGCAGGATTAGCCCTTAATCCAAAAATCAAATCCTCTAAAAATGCTATGCCACCATGGACACAGCATGAAGCAAAAAATGAAAATTATGTTGAGAAAGAAAGGTCAATGGAAAAAAGAACATCAATATATAATTTGCTGCTAATGTATTAAAACAATTATAGTAGTTATGTCATCTAACCACCGAAGCACAGAGAAATCAATGCACAAAGGAATAAAGAGCAAGCCATTTATTTCTGGCATTAGGTTAGAAAAAGAAAATACGTAAGGGCAAGATATTTAACCTGTACAACCAGAATTTTTATTAGAGCACAAAAATCAGAACTCAGAATAATTTCTAAGGTCATCTCCCAGAGACTTCTGGCAGTATTTTAACATCTGCAGAATGAATCAAACGCATTCTGTCTGGTAAGGTCAAAGATCCTCCTAAAGTTGCATTCCAGTTGCTGCTATCACATGCATTGGAGCAGTTTCATATTTTGTTTGAGGGACAAAAAGCCCTGAAACCACAGGCAGAGAGCAAATGTCAAACTTGTCTAGCTTTAATGAGGCACTAATTTTTCCACATAGAAATCTGAAGCTCTTTTTTTTCCCCAGGTAGGAGGGAGCCCTGGTGATTAATGTGCAGCTATAATGGTCAGGGTTATTAGAAATTATTGGACAAATCCGCTACGCCTTATACACTTCGAAGTATTAGAAATATTGCCTATAGGAGTCACCCTAAGATACTGTTACTTTTTGTTAAAAAAGCCCCTGACTACTGCAACTAAAACTGTTAAGCTTTCCATGCAGTGAAATTTCACTTGACGGTAAACTGTTGTATTTTAAAACACACGTGAAGTACTCGCATAAGCCTCGCTGCAGAAGGCAGCCACTCCTTGTTCACATCAAGCATCTCCGAAAGTACTTTAGGAGAAAAACCGGTCCTCTCTTCCCATTGATCGTTATTTTAAGCCAGCCAGGCCAGGATTGCCTGGAGCAGCAGGATGGAGGATAAAAGATTTAATGGTTCCCTTTCATCCTTCTGCCCCAGGTCCAGCTGCCTTATGGGGCAGAAGAGGCGGGCATGCAGCAGTAACAGCACAGCGTGCTGCCGGTCTGCCCTCCCCGGTTTTCACCCCCAGCAGGCACACCGCCCGGCACCCACTCACCTGCCTGTCTCGGGGAAAGCTGCACGAGCAAGTGCAAGGCAAGTTTCTTCTTTTCCCCATCTGTCTTGCACCTGGACTTCTTTGCATCCCTGCCACCACCCTCATCTCCAGGCACTCAAAGGGGTGCAATGCTCTCCAGTCCGGACCCCTCGATAACACGATTTCCAGGTGCCACCGAGAGCTGTCACTGCCAGCAGGACCTTTTGCTGCCTGGTGGCACACAGCTGTCCTCCAGCAACAGACAGCGGCGCACATGAAGGGGCTGCATCGCCTGTCCCCTCTGCCACTGTGAGCCTGGTCCTACCAAGTGGGTGCTATGAGGTGCTCGTGGCTGCTCAGGCCTTTTCCCAGGTCCACCAGCTCAGCATGCATTTGAGTCTAAAGGGAACTTTAAAATTAGACTAGACATTTGACTTTCACAAAATTAATATAAAGGAAGATGGACTTAATCTTCATTCTTTTCATCTTTGCTGTCCAACACTCGTATGGCATTGAAGAACCACCAAGTTTCAAGTTCAGCATGTCCTTCTCATTGCTGAGTTGGAAAATCTACTCCTAGGAAACAGTAACCTTCAGCTCTAGTATTATATATAAACATAAAAATATCATCACATCTTCAAAAAAAGATTGCGAGTTCTTCATTTTTGGGTCTTCAATTTGAGATACTTTAAAAGACCCTACTTTTCAGTGACACTTCTGAGAATATGAACCCAAATTTTCTGCTTACAACTCAAAAATCACATCTATATATATATTTTTTAAAAATCTTAATTGGCACTATTTTCAAATACATAAAAAGTTAAGACTATTAGCCCAAAAAGTTTTTAACTTCAGTACCTAATGACAGGCTCCAAAATCTACTGTATTTGGACAATATCCAGTCCAGCAGATTACCAGGACTACAGTACAGTGACCAGAATACCTTCCATACTGGTACACAATATGGATAAAGGACAGGTCAAACTACATGTGTCAATGCCACATCTAAAGATCTGCAGGTCAGGTGCAATGCCTAGACTTCAGTGTGCAGCGTTATCCCCAGCACCTGCTGCTAACTGCTTTCCATACCAACCAGAGGGATAGGTCCCTTAAGGGAACAGAAATGTACGGATCCGCACTGTGTATTTTTAAAAGTGTTTAGCAAGAAGCTTTGATCTATTATTTTCCCCCTACAAAGCAGCAAGGGGAAATTTCTTTGTGCTTCGGCCCAGGGAAGGAGATGTAAGTAGAATCTTGTTTGCCTCTGGGAGCCAAATTATCATAAATATGCTAAGCAGTGCAAGCTCCCCAACATGTGGCACTGGAGCATGTGCAGTAAACATCACAGCGACTCTTCAGGGAAGCCTAGCACGACAAAGCCTCCGCCGGCAGAACACTCCTGGTTTCTGTAGGTTTGGCAGAACTGCCTACAAAGGGAATGATGGCATTTTCATCTGAGCAAGAACTGTTGGATTTGGTCCAAATCTCTGCCTAAGATGGCAGTAACATGCACTAGACTAACATGCAGACCACTGACTTCTTCCAGCACATGAAATAGCAATGCATTAGGTCAAGCGGTGGGACAATTTTGGTGTAATGGGTCGCACAGACTACATCAGGGTCTTGCAGCTGTGGCCCACTGTCATGTAACCTCGAAAGCAGCGACTCACTTGCCAACATCTTCTGACATATGGAGGCAAAAGGCTCAGCAAAGGTGCTGCATGGCTACGATGCGTTACAGGCTCTGCTGGGCAGGGGGCAAGGAGGAGGAGGGAACACATCTTGCAAACCCCGTAGGAGACCCGACAGCCTTTAGCATACTGCAATCTCACTGCAGCGCTGGAGGATGCCACTTCCAGCATTTTGCCCCAGGGTGTACAATACTTTAGACTGATGGGCACAGACTGCTCAGATACCTCTGAAATAACTTACACAGTATCTAAACACCTACAACGCACAGCAGAGACCTCCTCGTACTGGGAGGTGGGGCGGCAGGAGGGACACGAAACCCAAAAGAACCCAAAAATCAAACAGGGCCATACTTGCATCTTACATTTCTCACACCTGCCTTCCTCCCCACTCCCCGGGGCAGCGAAGCACAACTTCATAGCATAAAACCAGAACAACAAGCACCAGAGCACTCTTAAGACAGCTGCATTTTGCTTCCCCATGTGGTGAATGGGTTCCCAAAAACCCTGATGCGTTTCATGATGGTGGTGCTAAAACACAATATTACATTAATTGTAGACTTATTTACATGATCTATGTCCTTAAATTATGAACCTGAAATTGTACTTGCTATACTGAGACACCCAAATCATTCCATTGACAGGTTAATATGTAATTAAAGACAGCTTTTCTCCTTATTATTACAACTTAATGGAAGACAGCAATAAAAAAATGCCTTGCACATAGTCTGCGTATGTATTAAGAACATCTAACAACTTCAAACTGCTGGGTTTGTCAGTACAACCCTGTACTGACAGCAGCATGAAAGAAATAACAAAGGTTCTTGCTTGCATGGTTTAAAGATCATAAGAGGTAAGACACGAGGAGTAGACATTATCTGGAGTTCAGCTGCTTGTGAGTATTAAAATACCTGCGTGGGCATAATTCCCTGTGGCAGCAGAACCGTATTCTTGTGCAAGGACCTTCGGCTGCTTGCAATACACAGTAGTTCAACGTTACACTTTTAAGAAAGAACATCTTTATTTTGATAGTTTTCAAACTATTTTCACTCATCGGGGAGCTCAGCATTAGATCCTTGATTCAGCTGTACCACAATTACTCAGGGATTTTATTTGATGGCCTGGCTTATTTCAGTTAAATAAAGGGGATATTAAGCAATTACTGGATGAAAGCCCAGTGGGGTAATTTTCTAAAGGTGTATATTCACTTTTGCCATTATTTCAGATTTTTAGTGCTATTTATTGATTTAGTCACAAGAAATACACCCAGAACTCAACTCTCAACTCTCAAAGCCATAAATATGGCTTTGGACTGGTATAGTCCAGCTTTCTTCTTGGGTATCTTTCTTTTCCAAGTCTTACAAGATACTGTATCTTTCATGCACTAACTGGAAAGCATCTAATGGAAGAGATGCATTCTGCATCTTGTAGAAATGGTTTGTTCAGTTTTCACCCCTTCATCAACACTGCCAGCTGTTCCTTGGACTTCCACGGGGCACAGAGGAATCTCCTTGGCCAAGATGTAAACCGTACCTTTCTGCACAAGCATACGTGAGACCGGTGCAGTGTTTAGGATAAACGTAAAAATCGTGAACTGCAGTAACAGATAGGACAGTGTATTAAACTGGGCCTCTCGGCTCATCTGCTCCATGACCACGTTTCACCACTATACATAACAACATCCTGCCATGACTAGCTCTTGCTGCCATCTTTAATTTCTATAGCTCTTTTTGGCCATAAGTGCCAGCATGGTTTTTGCAAAACATGCAAGCTTTATTTTTCCCTTGTAGAAAGGGAGGCAGACACGGGCCCAGCGACAGCACGAGCTGAGGCGGGAGGTACCTGCCAACGCTGAGAGTACAAACCCAGCGTCCTCACTCCGGTTCTGCTCGCCTCTCCGCCAGTCCCATGCAGGCAATACCAGTGCGTTTGACCTCCTGCCAGTGAGGCCAAGACCACCAAATGTGAGATTCAGAGGTGATCCCACCTGCGAATCACCTTTCCCTATCAAATTTCCAAACCCTTTTCAAATGAAATAGGCTAACAACAGCATACTTTCTACTTTCCTTCAGCACTACTTCTTCCTTCTTGTTCCCCAAAGGAAAATGGCTTTTGCAACTGAACTGTCTGTCCAACTATCTGTAAGTCTTGCTCTCCCTTATCCCTGTAACCTTTGAATCCGTTGACAAATTTCAACCAAATTTGAGACAGGGCAGTAAATTCTCAGAGACACTGTGTTCCTATAAGTAATGGGAGTAAGTGCATCCGTAGAAGAAAGAGACAAATTACTGTCTCACTGAAGTAAAGGCTGCCACGTAAGCACAGCTATGTTTGTAGACATAAAATAACTCAGCCAAAGGAGATGTAGTGATAGCGCCTCAAGCTGCCACTGGTAGCACTGGGTTTTTTTGATTAAAAGATAAAATCTCAAACACCGGGACTACTAGCACCTCTGAGATAACCCTCCTTATTTGAAATTCTGCAAGCTGCGTCCATATCCAGTTTCTCTCACTGCTGTTCCCATCTCTCCGCTGCACCAGCTTGCTGGGTCTTCTCTTAGTGGACCCTATAAATTCCCAGGGCAGAGCACTGTCTCTTATTTTGTGTTTGCATAGCACCAGTCAAACATACTTCTGAGTGCCTGTATATATGTAAAATGATAACTCATTATCTTTCCGTATTTGTTTCTGTAAATAAGGTTTTTGTCATTAAACTGCTTTGCTTATTCAGTTAGTCATTAAGGCCAATTATAAAAACCCATTTTTAATTTTTTTTTTTTTTATTACTAAGAAGCAGTATCCTTTCTATATCATCCCTGGCTAGTCTATGGAAAATCATTGATTATGTGATGACAGTCTCCTTAAACAGACTGCAATCACTTGTCAGTGGCTGCAGGCTGGGAGAAACTTCTGTTAGGTGTAACACAACCTCTAGCTTCTTTCAGGTTATAGTGAGCATGTATTTATTTTTACTAAAGAGTGCCTGTCAGAGAAGGTAGCAAAGCATCTTAAAGGAAGACGCTGAGGATTACATAAAGGAAGACTCTGAGGATTACATACCACTCTTCAGCTAGCTAAATACTCCCTATATAAGAACATATATTTAAAAGCAACTTTCCAAATCAGTTTTTAGAAACACACCACAAATTACAGTAAATATACAGGAGCTGGAATGAATTCTATTAGGCGCTGCTGTTTTAAAGACATAGCAGCCCACATCCCAGAAGGACAATGAAGTATAATATGCAAGCTCATTTAATCACTGTATCCAATTACAAGGAGGAATAAATCATCACCACATGCCTATGTCTGAATTTTAAAAAGTAAATAAATCATGAATGGTCAAGCCAAATGCTGTGAATCTCTAGATTCACAGATTAGCAGGGGAAGTGGTGCATTCACTTCCCATTTTAAATGAGAGTATCCAAAAACTACTAACAACATCTAATTATTTTAAGATAAATACAAAAGCTGCCTTTTTTTGTTCAGTTTGAAGCTTGATCATACAGAGCTGCCGTTCTCTGTAGCAGGGAACACAAAATCCTGACAAACGTTGACCTCAACGGAGCTTGTACATGGCCTAATGACAGACTTTCCTAGTCTCTCTGCCCTGATTCGTACCCAGCACTCCCCTAGGTCACAGGGGTTCAGAAGAGGAGCTGCCACTCTTGCTAACGCTACGAATAATGGCACTTCGGGCAACTGGTCCGGCCCTTTGCTGTAAAATCCCTCATCCCAGACCCACATGGCCATACCCTCTAGGAGGATCTGAATGCTCTCCATTTGTCAAGAAAACCCAATACAGCAGTTTCTTGCAAAGCTGATGGCATTTTCATGTTTTTCAGATGCTTTTAGAAAATTGTTATTTAAAGATTTATCATTCTTTGTAACCAAGAACATAGTTGTAACTTCCCAAATTGCATCTTACTAACCTTGATTCCCTGAACAAATTTCCAATCCTTTAAACTGAGATGTTAAATCAAATGCCCTATGGTCCATCTGCACATCAAAACCCTCACCCGAGTAGGGAGATCAGATTCTCATTAATACTAACACAATCTGTATGCACACATCAAAGAAAATAAACTTCCAAATATTTACATAAGCTGCACAAGCAACCCGTAAGATGTGCCAAAACTTTTGCCTAGGGATGGGCCATCACGCTGAAGACTGTAACAAAACTTGCCTCAACCCTGTGACACTGCACCAGGACAGACCTCAGGAAAACACTTTCTTGCTGCTTTGCAACAGAAGAGAAATATCTGGGAGAGTACTGAAGGTCTGGGGAACACATGGGAGAAGCCCAGCTTCAGCTGGCAGAGACCCTCCCCCGGTTCAGACTCAGCTTGCCCAACACGCCCAGGTTTCCCGACTGACCACATCCCAGAATCTCCGTGTGTGTGCGCACGCTTTGGGGCTTCTGCCCACAGCAAACCTCAGGGGTGAAGGGGGGCCCCACGATGGCAATGGCTCCCCGAGGTCTCGCACCGCCCTGGGGAAGGGCTCCCTGCCCACCGAGCAGCCCCGCTGGGCAGAGCTCGCAGCCCCGGCACGGACGCTGTCTTCAAAGCGTTTGCAAGCCGTGTGTGGCCCAAGAGCCCTACACCGCTGTCACCAGGAGAGCAAGGAGGGAGCGGACAGCGTCCCCTTGCTTCCCAGGCCCTGCTCGGGGGGGACATCCCTTCTCGGGGCCGGGGGGAGAGGACAGCGAGGAGCCTGCAGCACGGCCCAGGCTGCTTCCTCGCAGTCAGGCATGCCGGGCTCGAGCAGGCCAGAGGTCTGCGTCTGTTCGCCCGTCCGAAGAATTACTCGGCCGCCCCGACGCAGCCTCTTTGTTCGTGCCCAGGCAGTTGGAGGCGGAGGCGAGGAGGCCTTTCACCTGCCGGGAGCTGGGGGGCCTGTGTGTCTGCTGAATTTCTTAATCATACAGATGTTGCCTCCCTGCCTCTGCCTGCTGGGAATGGGAATTTTCCACCTGCCCGTTACAGGGTTATCTCTACAGACAGCAATGCAACAGTCAGAGGAGCAGCTGTAGTCACCTTAGTAGGCAAACTGTTTGCATTTGCCCGTTATCGGTGGTTTCCACGCTTTGGGGCAACGTTGCACGCTCACTGCTGCTTTAAGACTTTGAATGAAAACCCTTTGACAACTGGGATCTGACAAATGCTATTTGTTTGTGGTTGTTTTTCGCTGTTGTTTGTTTGCTTCCAGCTTGTGGCTGTGCATCCCCCATGATGTACTAACAGTAACAACAAACAAAATCCCATGGACAAGGCTCCTATCGGGGCAGGGAATGAAACCCAACAAGGGTTTCATTATTGCATTGATGCCGGGGCTCTGAATTCACAACTGGGAAAGAACAAAACCAGTATCTGGCTTTCTGGTTTTAGCTGCAGCAGTTCCTTGAGAGAGGTCAACAAGCCCTAAATTCTAAGAAATGGGGGTGGCGAAGGCTAAAGAAAGGCTGCTTGGGGAATCGGTAGAGCCTTGTGGGCAGGAGGAGGGATAATGGCAGGAGGGGGATGCAGGGTGCAGGAAAAAAAGGAAGGAAATTGAAAAGCAGTAGAATGTGAGACATAAAGGCCCCTAGCAGTCCCAGGTCAGACAGCATGATTTCTCCATGATTACATCCCTGATTCTGGCAATTTGTATCTCCATCAAAACTCAAGTTCAAGCAAAGGAATAAAATCATAATTCATCCCAAATGTTGTCACAAGAAAGCCTAAGTTTTTTATTATTAGCTTCCATCAAAATTAGATCCATCAACGCTGCCACTTTATTTACATTGATCTATTCTCCCCGTCCTCCAATTTTTTTGCCCTCAGTGTCCTTGAAAACAAGCCGTCACATTTTCACTTCAGAGAGTGAGTACTGATTTGGTTTCCAAAGGATCTCACAAGCGTTTCTGAACTCAGACAAGGTTATCTCATGATCTCAGCCTGGCTCAGGAGACGGCAATGCAAGCTGCTGCCACAGCTACAACTCACATTTGTATTTTTCACCTTGTCTAAAAGATGGGACAAGCAATTTACTTTATTGCAGTAACTAATGCTATTCTGAAAAGCTCTTTCTGCCAGAACCAGCTATACTCCGTGAGGGTAACTGACATCTCACGAGAAACCTTTGGCTGTCAAAGTGCTATAATTCTACTCCTGTTTCAATCTCTGAAAGGATCAAAATTGACTTTAAAAAAAAAAAAAGGTTGTCTCCAATGCCAACCACAAAGACCCTCCTAAAAGGTGTTATATACCCCAGCTGATAGCAAACTGGATCAAGCCTTTCCTTCTAAAAAGGCGACAGCAATTTAAAGCCTGCATTATGAGCTTACCAACCGCAGTTAACGCACAAAGCTTCCGAATTTATGCCAAGTGCATTCTGCTCCATTATCTCCTTTTTAGACAGGCACCTCCGCTTTCACAAAAGTACTCCTACTACAACCATCTATTCCTACATCCAAGAGCCGATCTTCTGACTTGCCCACTAAAATCAAAACCCAGCAAGATAACACAAACCACAGCAGAATCCCCTGCCAACCTCATCCAGCACACAGCAAATCTGGCCTTCAGCAGCTGCTGCCACAGCTACTCTTTTCCCTTGGATATGATAGAGAAGGCAGCAGCCAGCATTAGGGCAAGGCAGAGCCGAGCTCTGC